GAGGAAAAGTAATATTTAGAGACTATGTTTTAAAAAAAGAATGACTGCCATTGATTTTTCCTAAATCTGGATCTTTCTTTGTTACAAGAAGGGGCCTGGGAAGGCATATGGAGCCTCCCCCCACCCCCACCCCCCCGCAGTTCTGTGAACATCTAGAACAAGGTGATCATTGCTTTACTCAGCATGAAAAGAAACCCTGGACTGTCCTTAAAAGGGCCAGGAATATCCAGATTTAATCTTCAGCCTGTCATCAAATTGATGAGTTATTCAGTGTAGAGAAGGAACAGGAGAATCCCTATGTTAGTACAGCTGTAGATGCCAAATTAGACCATCAGGACATAGGGAATTCGGATACTCCTAAGAGTGTTAACTTCCTACATCACCATGAGAACTAATAACCCAGACATCACCAGCCTGCATGCACAGCAATGTGGAAGCCCACTCAAGTGCAACTTACCTGTTTCTAACTCTTTCTTACTCTCATCTTTCAAACCTTGACATCATGTTAACATAATTTGAGGTACAATGACTTTGCAATTTCCCAAGGTTTGAGGACTCTTGGAGTTTTAAATTATAACTGTGTTCCAAAATAAAAGAGTGATAAAAACATGGGGCACCTGGGTGGCTCAGATGGTTAAGCGTCTGCCTTCGGCTCAGGTCATGATCCCAGGGTCTTGGGATCGAGCCCGGCATCAGGCTCCCTGCTCAGGGGGGAGCCTGCTTCTCCCTCTACCCACCCCCCCACCCCCCACTCATGATCTCTCTCTCTCAAATAAATAAATCTTTAAAAAAAAAGTGATAAAAACAATTATATATGTAATATATACAGTAATATATAAATATGTAATGTAGACCTTGAAATGGTCACCAAGTGGATATAATATCCAATGCCATTTTCTTTGGATGCATTCATACATTCAACAGAAATGTACTAAGCATCTGTGTGTCCCAGAGGTTAATCAGTATCAGGTGTGAGGTCAAGAACCAAAATGTCACCATGGAAAGATCTAAAAGGACAGACTTCTATTGAGCAAATCACAAATATATACATAGATACAGATTATGGTGAGTGAAATTTCTCTCTAAAAGAGAATTCAAGGCGTAACATTTCAAAACCACCGGAAAATTACCTGTGAGAAGCCAGTAATCATTTAACACACACAATAAAATTATTTTTCATGTATATTTAGTTCCTTCTTTTATTTTGGAATGTCATTAGATTTAGCAAATGAGTCTTTTCCAGTGAAATCAAGCCATATGTCCTGCTTAAATATCTCAAGTTTAAACATTTGTATTGGTTCAAAGGAAGAAAGAAAAAGAATAGGCCATAGGAGCTAAATTAAAACATACTTTTCTTCCTCATTTTATGATAAAAATAATTAACTGGTTTGACTCGCAGCTTTCTAGAAATGTCTGTACTCTAATCAAAATTTTCTTACGATCCCTAAGAAGAAAGTTTCTACTTTGGCGATGGGTGTTAGAAGATGGTGTTATTACTGCAGAAGTTCTGACTAGTCCCAGGATTGTAAACTGTATACAGAGGCTCCCGGACTTAGGATACTTCAACTAGAACTTTCGACTTTGCAGTGGTGTGGAAACAATACAGATTCAGTAGAAAGCATACTTGGAATGTGGATCTTACCACAGGTTAGCGATGTGCAGCAAGCTCCTCTCCAGAAAGGCTGAGCAGCGGCAGTGACACGGTTCCCAGACAGCCACGTGCTCACAAGGATAGCACACTTAGAACCATGCTGTACCCATACAGCCATTGGGCTTGTGGCTTTCAGTACATTATTCAGTCAATTACATGAGCTAGTCAATGCTTGATCATAAAATGGGCTTTTGTGTTAGATGATTTGGCCCAACTGTAGACTAATGGAAGTGTTCGGAGCATGTTTCAGGTGGGCGAGGCTCAGCTATGATGTTCAGTAGGTTTAGGTGTATTAAATGCATTTTCAAATTAGGATATTTCCAACTTACCATAGGTTTATTGAGATGTAGCATATCGTAAATCAAGGAAGGTCTGTATTCTTTCTTTGCACCATGAGTTGAGTCCAGAAGATTCTCATGTGCAGTCAGAATTGCCACAGAACCAAAGTTTCCTTTGGTAATCTTTCATAAACTCAAAATAATCTCCCCTTTGCTAGATACATGAAAAAGAAAGCATGCTAGTCAGAAACAGACCCTGAAGGTTTTCACCCTTGATGGAATGTAAAGAATGGAAAAACTTAGCCACGGAATGTAGATATAGAGAAGGGAGTTGTCCAGGATTATTCCTAAGAATGTGGCTTGAACAACTGGACGAACAGAGGTGCCATTTAAGAAGTAGGATGAGCAGGTTTTGGGAGTTAGGACTGAGAGTTCAGTCTGTTGGAGGAGTTGCCAAACAGTCTGGCACCCCAAATTCTCCAGTGTCAGGAGACAGTTGGGGATACTGGAGCGCGGAAGGAAACTTTGCTCTAGAAGTGTAAGAGTGAGGGTGTTAGCTAGAGATCATACTGAACACAGTGGGGATGGCTGGGGTATTGATAGAGGCGAGAAGAAAACGGGGCCTGAGGACTGCTACTCCTGAGCTCAGGGGGAGGAGGGGGACCACTGGCCAAAGGTGAGGTTGGCCTCTTCTGTGTTCCAGGCTGTCGTGATACCTGAAAATATGGCTTCTGGAACTCCACCCCAGCCCAGAGAGACTTGCCATCCATCAAAGACTGTAGCTTCAGGGCATGTTAATTGCTTTTATCACCTTACTTAGGTCACATTAACCTTTCAGTCAGTGCAATTCCTCAAACTTCTCAAAAGAACAGCTAAGTCACTGTCTTCTTTTAAGCCAAAGATGATTAGTCTTTAATTCTTGTTAACTGATTGGACTCTGCCTTGTTTTATTACTGGTCTCGCCGTATCCATAGAATCTTATTCCTAACGCTTAGCAGATGTGTAGTCTCAGGCCAGTTGCTTAGCTTTCTGTGCTTCAGTTTCCTGACCAGTAAATCGGAGGTGTTAGTAGTATCCACCCCATAGGGTTTGTGAGGATGAGATGAGCTAATTCATGTAAAGTGCCTGGAACAATGCCTGGCACATCAGTTCTTAATAAATGTTCGTTGTCATCGTCCTCCTCATCTATCAGAGTTTCTCATGATTATATTCCAAAACCTCTCACCTAGTTAGTATTTGTCATTAGGGGAACTATGGAACATGTCAAGGAACCGCTATGCTAACTGCAAGGAACCCAAAAGAAAGAGAGGGTGGGTTGGGGGGGCAAGCAGAGAAAGAGATATAGGCCCTCTATCCCCACTTCAAACATATTTCTTCCTTTTATTTGCTTTTCATATTGTTTCTAGAAGTGTCTCATGTGAAGAAAGAGTTCTACTACTTGAGGGAAAAAAGTAATCTTGGCTATGCTGCTAACTAGGGTAATTTTCCAGCTCCTCTCAACCACAATTCAATTCAGCAAGGCTTTTTGGACTCAGTGCCTACTATGTGCAGAGAGATGTCTGGGTTCCTTAGGGAGAAAGGAATAAGGTTGTTCTCTGCCTCCACGTGGTTCATAATATAGTAGTTGCCCTGAACCCACAGGCCCCGAATCAGGAGTTATGCCCTGTGTGCTGGGGCAGAGATACAGAGCACAGAGACAGCACGGAGGAGGGGCCTCCTGGAGAAGGTGGCTTTTGAGAAAGGGCGGGATCTCAGTAGGCAGAGATGCATGGGGGGTAAGCCCAGGCAGCAGGGACAGTATACACAGAGGGAGGGGCATCGAGTGTACCTCATTCTCCACACACAAATGATCCTAGACTTTCAGGCTTCAGTCTGGTTTGACTGGCACATAGCGGAAAGAAGGTGGGGACCCAGTATGTCTCCTAGAGAAGTTCAGTGTTTATGCCCAGGTTTTGGAGCAAATGAGTGATAGAATCAGCACTGTGTTTTCGGAAGTTGCATGAGACACCAGCACTCCTTTACCTTGTGTTTCAAGACTGTTGTCAAGTTACCACAGGAAAGGGACGGTAAGACACCAAATTAAAATTCTCTCTAAACAGAACTAGCTCTCAGTATTCATTTTCAACCTAGCTCATTAGGGCAGGTTGGGCCTTCTTATATTTTGTTAATTGCCTGTACCTGAAGAATCTTTCTAAAACAAAAAAAAAAAACTACAGCACACATTGCTGCCATTTGAAAGCCTGAGTTTTTAAAGAGTATAATACATAGTGACAGTTTTGATGTATGCCAGTGGGTGTGGGTCCCAGTACTTCACCATTCTCTGCCTGCATGATTTAAAATGACAGTGTAGCCTGTCAAACTTAAATGTGAGTGAAGCTCCTTGGATATTTATAAAACATCAAATAGATAGAATTGTGTCAGCAAAAGATGGGCGCTTTTATTACTAAACCACAGAAGGATTTTTGGATGATAGTTGCTGGCAACACAGCTGTAAACTGAACTTAAAGCTGCAGCGTGAATATGGTGGTCCACGGCTGTGAAGGTGTTTTCACCCACTGCAGTAAAAGGGTATCAGAATACTCCAAGCAAGTCAATGATGCAACTTCTGTTTTGTTTTGTCAATGAATTAATGATCCGCGGGTTCAGGTTCCCCTGAGAAAGTGGCAGTTACCCATGCAAATAAAGCAAGCATTAGTCTGCAAACCTAGTTGGCGGTTTGCCGGTTTTCAGCCGTTTTACCAGATACCTTAAGGCCTCAACTCCAACTTGGAGTTGAGATTTTTTTACGTGTAGTTCTAGACATAGCCTGCCTACTTCGATATATATATTCCCAGGGGTGCGTGGACACTAGTTTTTGTGAATTTACTAATGCTTAAATACTTGCAAAACTGCACGTAGAGAGCGAGCGCCATAATCCACACCCGCAGCGTCCAGGGCGAACCAGCCCGCTTCTGCTTGGTCCGGCCCGAGCCCCGCCTCCGGGGGCGTCCTCTGGCCCTCTGGGTCCCACAGGCCTCCCCCGGCCCCGCCCCGCGTCCCGCAGGCCCCGCCCCGGCGCCGGGCTCTGACGTCACCGTCTGCGCCGCGCGCGGCAGAAACAGGAAGTGGGACCAAAACAAAGGAGCGGCGGCGGGGAGCGGGCCTTCCTCTTTCTCCCTCTTCCGAGCCCATTTTGGCCCTGGCCACCGACCCTAGGGAGCCGTCCGACTATGTCCAACATGGAAAAACACCTGTTCAACCTAAAGTTCGCCGCCAAAGAACTCGGCAGGAGTGCCAAAAAATGCGACAAGGAGGAAAAGGCCGAAAAGGCCAAGATTAAAAAGGCCATTCAGAAGGGCAACATGGAAGTGGCGAGGATACACGCCGAAAATGCCATTCGCCAGAAGAACCAGGCGGTGAATTTCTTGAGAATGAGTGCGCGGGTCGATGCGGTGGCTGCCAGAGTCCAGACGGCGGTGACGATGGGCAAGGTGACCAAGTCGATGGCCGGTGTGGTTAAGTCGATGGATGCGACGTTGAAGACTGTGAATTTGGAGAAGATCTCTGCTTTGATGGACAAATTTGAGCACCAGTTTGAGACGCTGGACGTCCAGACGCAGCAAATGGAAGACACGATGAGCAGCACGACTACGCTGACCACTCCCCAGAACCAAGTGGATATGCTGCTTCAGGAAATGGCAGACGAGGCTGGCCTAGACCTCAACATGGAGCTGCCGCAGGGGCAGACGGGCTCCGTGGGCACTAGCGTGGCTTCCGCCGAGCAGGATGAACTATCCCAGAGACTGGCCCGCCTGCGGGATCAGGTGTGACGACAGAACCCACTCTGAGGTTTCCTGGCCGTAGCCACCTTCTGAAATGCTCTGTATATTATATATTATACAGTAGAAACTGAACATGCCAGAATGCTGAAATGCTCTTTACTTAAGATGCTTCTACCTTTGGGTTTACAGTGCTGTCCAGATACACTAAAAAATTCCAGGCTTCCTCCATCTTAACTGGATTTTAAAGTTCCGTATAGCTTGTGATGTGTATTTTTATAGCTGCCTCTTAACAGAACTAGTTAATTTGGTGTGTATGAATCTTTCTCAAAAATTTGGTCAAAACTCTGTTCCGTGTATTCAGTTTTCTGCCTGAATTCATCAAAATTGAACTTTTTTTAATTTAGTGTAATTCGTAATACCTAGAGTTGACAGGTGGTGCATAAAAATTAGAGAGAGGAGAATGATTACTTAATTGATTACAGGGCTGTCAACACCTCATTCAACCTAAGGGGACAGTGCTATCTATTTCTGCGTATTTTTTTTTTCTTTACCATCACATCCAGACTACAGTTCTATTGATCTGTTCTCATAACTTATACTAAAATTATGGTAGGGCATTCTGCATAATATTCTCTTACTGTTTATGTTCCACAAATTTTGTGTGGTAGTTATTCTTTTATAACTGGAAAAAATGCCACATAATTTCATTTATTAGAAGTAAAAACTGCTCATTTATGTTTTCATTTATTAAAGAGTTTTTCAAAAGACACGGTTGAACATGAGTTTCAAATGAACATCTTGAACACATTTCTTGTTCTTTTCCTATTTCAACACTTTAATTAGACTTGTCATAAAGTATGTTAATTAGCATGGCACTCGTATTACTCTAACATTGCCAAAGAACTGTTGATTGGTTTGCGAAAACCCTGGGGTGGTGTGTTTGTAGGTTTTCTTTAATTGTTTATAACCAAAAATAGATATAAAATTAGAACTGCTTTTTAAGTTCTAATTATTTGCAATTATTATTTTCTTTTAAAGCAACAACCTGTTGAGAAAAACCTTAGAAATATAAATTGGATGTTTTATTTAGCCATGCAAATAACTTAAATATACATGCAGCCACCTGGACGTCTGGGAAGAGGGAAAGATGCAGAATGGGACAGCAGGCTTGACCCCTCTAAGGCTAGAGCCCATCTGTGCTGCCTTTTGTCTTTCTGGAACAGCAGTATGTATTCTCTGGCTGCAAAGTAAAGCCTGTAGCCACCACTTTCTCATGGCCTCCAAACATGGAGAACAGTAACTTGCTTTGGCTTTGGCAAGTATATTAATCTAAGTCAAATACTTAAGGACATTTGAAATTCCCCTTTTCCTTCACTGGTAGATTTCCCCATAAAAGAATTCCAGTGTTTCAGAAGATACTTACAGGGACTCTTACAAGCCCTTTGAAAGATTCATGACCAAATAGTCACCATTACTTTTTCCATTATGAATGAGTGTGTTTAAAAAAAAAAAAAAATGAACAGGTATATGCAGATGAGGACTGACCCTCATATTTAAGTGTCTTTATATCTGACTGGATGTTGTTCTGAAGTCTTCCATAAGAGACACCTGTCGATTGTCTGCCCTGTATCTTCTTTCTAGAACTCTCCCCTTTTGGTGTCTCTTCTCATCCACATGGTTGCACAGAAGCAGCTGTGTGAGTATAGCATGAGTCGTAACCCTTCTTTAGACTGGAAAAAATAATTACAACTTAAAATATAGCTAGTGTCAAATCCTCTGGTAAATTAAAGACCCTTTTATAGTACAAATATTCCCAACAAAATTAATATATTTTGTGAGATTAAACAATGCTTGTATATGCTTGAACTTTCTTAAAATATGTTCATTTCAAACTATATGAATGTACATTTTTATGAACCGTAAATATTTTCAAAAGCATACCAGGCCCATGAATTATTTCCTCACTTTTGCAGTTGATGAAATGCTGAAATGTAAGCCACAGAAGTTTGTCAAATAAATCATTTTAAACTGCATGATACTGCATGTGAGTGTGCATCCTGTTTAAAAAAACTATTTAAAAAAAAGAATTCAGAGGTAGATTTGGTTCAGAAAGTGTGGTATTTTTCCAAACTCCCCCTTAACACCTTAATTTCTGTTTTGTTAACATGGAATGTCCATGTATATTTCAAGAAACCCTAGCTATTACTTCTTTACTATAATAGTTCCTTCCTAGCAACAAGATTCTTCCTCATCTCGAAACTAACCTGGGCTAATGATAGATAAAATTTATAAAAGGCTCAAACTCAAACATACCAAGGATATAGTTAATCTTCCGTACAGCTACTGGTACCATTTTTACTCTTATTTCTCCTTTTTTATTTTCTGCCTTCACATGCACAGTTTTAACATGGATTTGGAATATACTTCTATGAACTATTTAGTTTATTTCAGTTCAGATGATACCTGTGCAATTGGAAAAGGCTTACTAAAGCAGTTTCTTCTGGAAGTGATCATGCATATGTGTGCCCTTCAGACGGAGGCATGCTATGAGTCTTGTACACCACGTGCCTACCCTGTGTCCTGATTTGGCAAAGAGCCACCTAAAATTAGCACCAGTCTGTTAACCTTATTAACTGAACATAGTTCTCAAGTTAGCCAAACAAATCTCACATCATAAAGCAGAAGTGAGGGACCTTGGGTTCTAGATGCTTCCTTGTAATAAGCACACCATTCTCTAGGAGGCATTTCTGTAGCCAAAATCCAAAGCTCAAGACCTTCAATACTATTGGCAAAAAGCTACAAGCCGGTGGACGTTGAATAAACTGATGAATATCCACTTGTAATTTTTTTTTTTTTAATCAACTGACGCACTAGTAAAATGGTTTACCTAGGTTTGTTTTTCTATGACTAGATGGTAAAACGATGTCTGTCTTGGTCACAATTACTGGGCCTGGTGTGGAACCCAGCTCAGTTTGCTCTGATCGTGTCCCTGGCGTGAATGCATAGCTCCCTTGGGGCTCTCACCCGTGATCATGCCTAGAGCTCTCTAATGACAACATACACAGTGAGTAAAAGGGGGTGCAGTGGGCACTCAGCCAAAGCCCTGTTGTGTCTCAGAAGCACTGTGTCCTTTTCCTTCAGCGCATTTCCCCAAATTGAAATGTTCGCTCTTGCTCTTCAGGGTTTATACATCCTCCCTCCCTCTTGAATAGTAGCAGGACAAACAATTCAGCAGTTTTTATTCAGAATGACTGAATACAGTAAAAGATTTAGACTGAAGTATATCAGATGTTGGCTATCTGGGGCTTCTTTCTAGAGAGAAAAAAAAAGACACACTTCTGCCTTAAACAGTCCTCAGTACAGTTAGGTAGATAAACCATACGCGTAAAGAGAAAAACGGTCATGAATGTATACAAACGTTACAAAGTCATCAAGATGAACATTTAAGATTAGTGCACTTGACACACATGACGTGTTTTATACCTTGACTTCTAAAAAGGGAGTAAGTCACAGTATAAGGGAGTAGCCCATGCTAATCAAATCATGAACATTACAAAGAGAATGGAATCAGTGTCGGCAGTGGTTAGAACTGGCTTCTTGCAGGTGGTAGGGTTGAATCTGGGGCTTCAAAGAAAAAGAAGTGGGAATTACACAAAGGTCGGAGAAGCCCAAAGCCATACGGGGATTTGAAAGTGGAGGGTTTGTTCGATGTCAAGACGTCAAAAAGAGTGAAGAGGTTGGACAGATTGGGAAGGGCTTGGAGGCCAGGTTGAAAATGTGAACTTTAGGGGCGCCTGCGTGGCTCAGTCGTTAAGCGTCTGCCTTCGGCTCAGGTCATGATCCCAGGGTCCTGGGATCGAGTCCCACATCGGGCTTTCCGCTCTGCGGGAAGCCTGCTTCTCCCTCTCCCACTCCCCCTGCTTGTGTTCCTGCTCTCGCTATGTCTCTCTCTGTTAAATAAATAAATAAAATCTTAAAAAAAAAAAAAAAGAAAATGTGAACTTTACCCTGAGGAAGGAAGCAGGAGCGTGATCGTCGGAAAACTGTATAATCCCAGTGAAGCGAGACAGCCTAGAGCAGGGTGGCAGGAAAAACGGAGAGGAAAGGTGTTCTGCAAACTTTGACGTGCACAGGGGTCACTGAGTTCCCGGGGATACTGCGGGTCAGAACCACCAGGGGATATGGCTCAGCTGCAAATCCTCATCCCCAAGGTCTGCAGGTGCTGCTGCTGGTCTGAGGACCCCCTTCTAAGTGGCACGGATCTTAGCCTGCCGCGCGTCAGAACTGCCTGGTACCTTGTCACTGTGCGGGTAATATTTTTCTCCTCCAGAGTAGTTTTATATCATGTACATTAGCACCAGGAAGTAAATTTCAGTAACACACTGAGAGAAGTTTCTTACTAACCTTTGACAGTTCCAGCTTGCTACATTTTCACAAACAAAATAATTACGGATACTTTTTAATTACATTTAGTTGGTGCTTTTTCTCAGATCTCATTGTTTAAAGGTATTTAACAGAAATGTTTTTCATCTTTTCATAATCCTTTGTCCGTCCTCATGACCAACTGCATGGTCACAAGAACACTGTGACTTTTGAGCCATTTTAGTGGGATAGCAGACAGCAGATGAGAAATACACAATGCACTGCTATCTTGTGCCAGTATCCAGCAGAAGGGGATCTAAATGACAAGAATGAAAATGTTTCTGCAAACATGAATATCCTCAGCGGTAGCAGGAAATAATGGGAAAAAAATCAAAGTAAATTGCTTTTTAACTACTTTTTTGTAGAGTCCATATCACTATCGTGACTTTTTTAAAGTATAGTTTGGTACTATCTTGCAACTGTGTATCTAGTGTGAGTGAACTGTCTCCAAGGTTGATTCTTAAATCTGGTTAATTTTTCCACTAAAGAGGCAGTGGCATATTTAAGAAGACAATTTTACTAACCCTTTAACATGTAGTCTTATGAAATTCTGTGTATGATTTAGAAGACCCTTTTAAAACTCATCTCTCTATAGATACTATCTTAGGAGCTCCAATTTGAAGCACTTCTAAAACATGCTGGAAAATACACTGAACCAAAGACTAAGGCAAAAGGCTGGCAGAAATCTACTACTATAGATTTCTCTTTCATTCCTTTATGCCTTAGAGGGTCTTTCAAAGAACTAGGGGACACATTCACATTCGGGGGAGGGATTTTCACGTTTTATTCTCATTGCACAAATTTGAAATGCATGAACTCACAATACCATTCAGCATCAGGAACGATGCAGAAGGGACTCTTGAAAATGTTCATTGATGCCTCTCGGATCTCACTTAGATCGTTAACTATCAGAGCCGGAAGGAACTTCGAATATCCATCCTGGAGATTAGGGATGGGTACAAACTTGACATCTTTGCCTTTGTTATTGGCATCTCTGAACTGCTTATTTTTAATAGCGTTCTGCAAGGTACTCCCACCGCTTCCTTTGGAAGGCAGTCTTTAATCACATCTATCAAGAACTTTTGATGTATTTTTTTAACCACATTTCATTGTTTCTACTTATACTAGTTATTACCATCTGAATCAATTCACCCACCTACCTCCACCCTGTTTGCATCCTGTTTGAAATTGGTTGCTTCCTAAACTCTAACTATAGCCAAAACCTCCATATTTAATTTTCTAGCCCCTTTATTCAGAGATGATTGGTTTCTGTATCATGTTCAGTATTATGTCTCCTGCCAAGAGGACAGACCATCTCTGTAATCAGTTAGTGTAGCCCAGTGTGAGGGAGGCAGCTCATCTCCCCACCAGACCCACCTTGTTGTCTGGGCTACAGACCAGAGCCCCCTTTCCAGGAGCCGAGAACTCACTCCGTCACAGAGACCTTCTGCCCTTTTCCTGCTAGATGGTCGGGAACTCACTGTGTACTTCAGATGTGCTCTCCACTCTGCCAAATTCAAGGCCAGCAAGGACTGAGCCAAAGGACACTATGGCTCTCAAACCAGGCCTCAAGCAAGCCCGGCCTCCTACGTTTCCCCAGCTAGCAAGGGGCCCCCTCCTGTGGCTCTCGCAGGGTTGTCGGCACTCTGTCCAAACTCCTCCCCCTCGGGAACTAGCTCTGCCCCCAGCCAATTCACCCACCTTCTGGTAGGCACACAGCAGCACCTCCCGGGGCTCGCGGCCCCCAATCCAGAGAGGCCCCAGGCGGATCACGGCCCCTTTGGCTTCTCTGCAACCTTGCCACCAGCCCATAGTTCTGCAGTCCTTCTCCAGGAGCAGATGACTCTGACAACGCCCATGGCAGGCGGTGCCCCCACAGACCCGCCCACCACCACCATAGCTGACATGACTTCATTCCTGATGCTGTCCTGCCATTTCCGGTCTCTGACAGGAAATCCCTACCACCACCCGACCCACTCTCGCCCCTTCCGACAGTCGGCTTGTGGCTGAGGCCAGGGGCCGCCTCTGTTGCAGCTCTAAGGGAGGCCTTGGGTGTGGAGCTGCTGGCCCTTGTGCACAGGGTGCCTGGGTGAAGGGCCACCAAAATGTCGCCCCAGCACCAGGCCACCATCCTGGGCCACTGGGAGCTATCTTTAGCTCCCCAGGAGGAAGGAGATACAATGGCCAAGGGAATTAAGTGATCTTAATGTGTCTTTGGCCTCCCTCTTGCCCATGCTGGAAGCATCTCTCGGGCCTGCCAGGCAGGCTAGTGGAGGGAGCATGTGGAGATGGGGGGCGGGGGTGACCCCTGTCCTGCACTGTGCAGATGCCCACAAGCATTAGAGCATTCGAGGAAGGCCTAATGCTCCATTACTTTACTTCAGTAAAGGAACCCAAACCACGCTGAGTTGGACAGGCAAGGAAGTCGGCCGTGTCCCTTTAGTCTGGGGCATGTTCACCCTCCCCAGGGCTAGAGCCTCACCCACAGTCAGGAGACCAGGGGCCACTCAAACCCCTCCTTCCCCTCCATGTTCTCCTTCCCTTTGAAGCCCCTGCTCCAGAAGGATTCCTTGCTCACCAGCTAACCAGTCCCCATGTCCTCCTGTGTCTTGACAGTCTCCACAGTGTCCATTATGGGCTGGGCCTCTCAGCCACCTGCTCACTTACCTCTTCCAGCTGCGGGCGGAGGAAGGGAGCAGACGTTCATTCATCGAACAAAGATGCGGGGGCCAGGCCCGCACTAGGTGCTGGGGATACGTGGGCTAACAAGACCGAGACATGCCCCATGGGTCTTGCATTTTGGAGGAAGAAATAGATAATAAGCGTAAAACAAATAAATGGGAATCGTGTCAGGCCGTGGTAGGTACCACGTAGAAAAATAAAGCAAGGTTGGCGTGGAGATTTTAGCTAAGATGGGCAGGGGGCCTCTCTGTGAGGAGGGAGAGCACGTGCCCACGGGGCCCCTCGCGTCCACGTCTTCTTCCACGTGCAGATACCACGTGATTTCCTGTCCCTTCACTCCGTGTGTCCCTCCAGGTGCGCACACCAGATGAAGCCTGCTGACGCCCGCACACTCGCACGCAACTTTCGGACATTGTTAGGAACTCATCATGCTACAGGAGCATCTCTGAGCTCCCGCGTTGTACTGACACCGCCACATGGCCTTCTGCCACTAGCTTAGCCTTGAAGGAGGCCCCGTGCCCCTTCCCAATGTCTGAGTAGCCCCTCACCCCCAACTGTGGGTAAGAGGAAAGAGGGAAAGCAGAGGTAAAAAGAAGAAAAGAAAATGCAGCCTTAGCCCCTCAGTCAGGAATGTTGTGCTGTCTAGGCAGGTACATAGTCAGGGAAGAAAGGCAGAACGTACCCCAGCTCCCCCACCTGCCCCTGCCCTCCGGTGCCTCGGTGACTGTCCCATCCCCTAGACCCACCGCCCAGGAGAAAGCCACCCGAGAACACTTCTGAGCATGTGCTGGCTTTCTTTTCAGCTTCCTGGAGAGAATCGACAGTGTCAGTTTGGTGGACTACACACCCACAGACCAGGTATATGAAGCCAGAGCCCGCAGTCACCTACCTGCTTGAACTTGGCGAGATTAGAGGAATTGTCAGCATTTATTCACTGATGATTTGTAAATGGATGAAAGGGCGAAGTCCATAAAACAGCTACTTCCTGCAATTGTGTCCACTGTCCCCGCATGTCCACTGTCCCTGCATGTGTCCCTGCATATTTACCATACCCTGTGATTCAGCGCCTGACTTAGCTCTCTAAAATTTCCTGGATTTCTAACCTGCCAATGTCATAACAACTTTGTCTGTGGGATAGCAGCGTGCAGTTCCCATTGCTCTTGGAGCTGTCCACAGCAAGCTCAATCTTTGCTTCTCCAGCTTCGTCCACTCTGCCCATTCTACTTTGGGCCCTGGGCTGGGTCACACATACAGGCATGCTCTCCAGGTGCGACTCAGAGTGTGGTCTTTGGGTTAAGCTGGATCAAAGTGCCCCACTGCCCATTTGTAAGTAGCAGGGAGGGAGCTTCCGTGCCCCCTGGAACCTTTGGCCATCAGGCATCCACAGAGACTCGGATCACTCCGAATTGCTTAGCTTAGGAGCCCCCCAGACACCTCAGGAGCTAGTGAACTCCAAGGAAGCTGGGGGGCTCCGTTCGAACTGCCCGTCTGAGACTCCCCCAGTGTCTGTGTCCCCTGGAGGGCCTTGGCTGTGGGCCCTTCCTGGCGGCTCTCTCCTCTCTGCCTCCCCTGGAGGCCTGAGCTCCTCTCTCCCCTGAAATCCACAACTCCGAGAGACTGACCCCAAGAGCTCAAAATTATCCGACAGAGCAATTGAGCCTTTGATTTCTCACCCATCGGCGTGCACCCGCAGCAGGTGGCTCTCCAGGAAGGCGCACCAGCAGAGCACCACCAGGACCCCGTGTCAGCTGCACCTGTGCCAGGACGCCCTGGGACCCCTGCAGAAGTGATTTAAAAAAAAAAAATCCTAAAGAAAATAAAAGCACAGCTCTTAAGTCTCTAAGACCAAACCAGCACATTAATTGTGACTTTCTGCTTGGGGGGCGGCAGGGGGCTGGGGGCAGAGCATTTGTCTGACTTTTTAAGTATCATTGTCTCTCTCACAAGTGGAAGAAGTGGTTATTTGAAAAACTTGATTACTATGCTTGCGGTTGCGTTCAGGGCTTTCCTTCTGAAGAACAGTGATGCCACTTGGTTTGTCTTCTTGTTCTCAGGATCTTCTCAGATGCAGAGTCCTGACATCAGGGATTTTCGAGACCCGATTCCAAGTGGACAAAGTAAACTTTCAGTAAGTCGTTGAGAGCAGGCCTGCCAGAGATGGGGAGTCGGACGCCCCCCTGGCTGCCTGCTGGGGCCTAATGGGGTCAGGGAGCCCGGCCTTCCTGCCATGGGCTGGACCCTGGGGCTTCAGTCATCCCAACTGTGCCTCACTACCCTTCTGGATAAGTCTATACAGACTCTGTGGCCCTAAAGGGCATGCAGTTAAGTGTAGGGCAGGGAGGAAGGTGGGAGCCAGGGCCACCTGAGAAGGTGAGGACTATCTAGAGCAGCCATCCAGGCAGGGGGATGCCTCCTGAGGGCTGCCCTGAGCAGAGGGGCCCGAGCCGGCCTGGTGACTGCACGGTGAGGCCTGTGACCCCAAGAAACAACGGGGTGTGGACTCCCGGGCCAGGCAATGGTGCAGAACCTCAGAGCGGGCGGAGCCATCTGCCGAGGCCACACAGGGAGCAGTGCCACGGGCCCGGAGCCACGGCAGAGGAGGGACACGGAGGGGGTCTCGCCTCAAATGATCGTGCCTGATCTTCCTCCACAGCATGTTTGACGTCGGAGGCCAGAGGGACGAGAGAAGAAAATGGATCCAGTGCTTTAACGGTGATTGCTATGCTTTCTCAAGAATAGGGATGAATTCTCACACTCATTCCTGCTATTGTGCTTCAGTAGCTTTGAATTAGACCATCTATTACGTGCCTTAAATGTGAATCTCATCAGGAATCGAAGCATCCCAGCTTTCCATTTAGCACATTTAGCATAGGCTCATGGGGTACATTACTGAAACACACAGTGCTTCTTTAAGTCATTCTCATAATCCCAGGGTGAAAATGAGTAGCAGTTGGATGTAGACCTTATCATGACCACGCAGTGGCTCTCTGTCTAACGGAGGCGCTTCTCTTTGTCTCTCTTCTCCCACGAAGACGTCACAGCTATCATTTATGTCGCCGCCTGCAGCAGCTACAACATGGTGATTCGGGAAGATAACAACACCAACAGGCTCAGAGAGTCCCTGGACCTCTTCGAAAGCATCTGGAACAACAGGTGATAAAAATAAGAAATTCAGGGGCACCTGGGTGGCTCAGTCGTTAAGCGTCTGCCTTCGGCTCAGGTCATGATCCCAGGGTCCTGGGATCGAGCCCCACATCGGGCTCCCTGCTCGGCGGGAAGCCTGCTTCTCCCTCTCCCGTTCCCCCTGTTTGTGTTCCCTCTCTCACTGTGTCTCTCTCTGTCAAATAAATAAAATCTAAAAAAAAAAAAAGAAAGAAATTCAGTTGCACCTCTGGAAATTGCAAATTTTCTTTCATGAAAAATACCACTCAGCTTACTTTCATTATTATTCTCCAGATATATTTTCTTTCCGTGCTGATAAATCCAGAACCGTCAGCAAGATCTTTTTTGGCCCATCTTATGCATAGACACACTTAGTATGGGGAGTATTCTTTGATGACGCTCTGACAGTGCTTTGTCAAGAAAACTCAGATATCTGTTTTGAAAGCTCAAGATTATCTTTAGGGTTCAAAACTGGTTTTGTTTGGTTTTTGAAACTTAGAAAGTACCATCCACAAATAACTAGATAATCTCTAGAAGATCCCTTACGGGTCAAAAGCACAGCATAGTCATGTTTGAAACTGCTACTGTTGCAAAGGGTGATTATTTTAGAAAGGAATACCCACCAAACGCACACATACACAATACACACATAGATATTAAAAATCAAAGTATCTTCTGAACTATTTAAGAAGAAATATCACCAAGGAGGAAAGGAAACATTAAGCTGAACTTGCAAAACATTTGGTTTATCAGAGAAGTTTTTCTCTATCAAAAGTGTTCAACAACTGTTCTCAGTGGAATAGTATTAAGACAATGAGAAAGAAAAAGAGGAAATACTGGCTATACGGAAGAACACTTTGGAGTCATTAAAAATTTATATATATATAAACATATATATGTTATATATAATATTTACACATATTATATATATATTTATATATATATGTAAACACACAAAGTCACATGAGAAAATGACCACAATAAAAGCAGATTTAAAAACACCATGATCTTGTTTTTATAAATATGTCTGATGATAGGAAAAAACCTGGAAGTAAAAACATAACAGTTCTAATAGTTGCCTCTAATAGTAATTACATTTGATTTTTTTCTACGATTAATTTTTCTATAATTAAAAATTCATTTTTACCAGGATTTGCTATTTTATAACAAGGAACAGTAAAGCTATTTCCATTTGGAGGAAGAATGGATTGTGTTTCTACTTCATAGTAAGATTCCTGTGCACTAATCATCAGCTTCATTCCTTTGAAATAATAGAATTTACAAAGGCTTTGCTCATGCACATACTGAGTTCATCTTAAGCCCGTGCTCTGTGTTTGTTTAATAAAACAGAGAGAGAACCTTCCCCATCCTTCACTGTCACTGTACCTGAGCCCCTCTCCTTAGCCTGTCCAATGCCGTGGCCTTGACCAAAGTCTAACATCCTGCTCCACCTCTGGAGAACCTCAGCCTGCTCAGACTCAGCACAGGAAGAGCCAAGCCAGCTACAAATCACATTCTGTGTGTTTAGCTAATGACTCATGTGTTTTGTTGTTGTTATTAACGCTCTAACATCTCGTTTTCCCACCCTTTATTAGTAAACTGCCGTGCACAAATCCAGGTGTATTTATTCCATAAATAACCCTTAGCTTTGGTGCCAAGAAATTTACATTCCCAGGAAAGATGAATTCGAAAATACTGAACTGCTAAATCAACTATCTCTATTTATTTATTATAAGGTTTACTCATTATAAGAACGTCTTGCTTGCAGCTGGAGCAGGGGTCCACGAGATTGGTGTATCACATAATTCTAAATCCTGTACATTTCAGGAAGATGGCAGTGTTCTTCTTTTCAGCAAGTAACTCCTATGTTACAGGTACTTTCATGTACTCGTGGATGTGAACTTGGTACGTTTATTTCTCTTTTCAGGTGGTTACGGACCATTTCTATCATCTTGTTCTTGAACAAACAGGATATGTTGGCAGAAAAAGTCTTGGCAGGGAAATCAAAAATTGAAGATTATTTCCCAGAGTATGCAAATTATACTGTTCCTGAAGATGGTAAGATTTCAAAACTAGTTTTTCCTGACTAAGGAAAAGGATTGATTGCTTTTTTTTAATAGCCCTGTTACTGTAGTGCAAACAGTTCTGACAATTTTAGGGAATTCCAATTAATTTGAATCAATCCTCTGGACTACTGCCCCACCTTAAAATACGAGCATATTACAGTGTCCTATTTCGGATTCCATGTGTAAGAATGTCAAGGTTTGACTTTGCATTCAAACTGTGCAGGAGGAGACAGGGCACTTTTGGGTGTGAGTATGTCATTGGCTGAATTAAGTTCTGTCTCTTGGTGCCTTGGTTGGGTCTGTCATGAACTGGGCACTGTGTCAGCCGACCTTGACTCTCACTGTAATCCTAGAAATGACCCTTTCTGTTATTTGCCTGTTTTCCTGTAGAAAGTGAGCTGAGAGAGGTAGTCAGTTGTTCAAGGTCACTCAGGTAGAGTCTGCCAGGACAGGTAGCCTCTGAGCCTTCATGCCCAAGCCCACGCTTTCAGCCACCACGTCCACCTCTCTTGTCCCCAGCGATGACTTTGGCCACCACCAGGGTGGCCAACCACCTGCGGGGTTCAGGCACTGGGTGGGGGCCTGTCAGTGCTAAATTACAGAAGGCCCCACCCCTGGCAGACCCCGGTTCCCACGGCTGCTCCTCAGTTCTCAGCACACGCTGGGCCACCTCGTGGGAGGGATTTATTTGCAGCGAAACGATACCACTTCTTAAAATTTGAACCCCCAACTACATAAAGCAGAATGAAAGGGACTTTCCTAGAAACTAGGGAAACTCAGGTAAGAAGTGGTTCATGGTGATCCTCCGGCTAACCTCGGCCAGCCTGGTGGCCAGTCACCTGCCTACAAGAAGTCAGCAGAGCTTGGCTGGCGCTGCCCTCTCTTCCCTGGACTATGGGCGCCAGCAAGCTGGGCCTTCTTTCTTCTCCCGGTAGCCAGGCCCCCGTTCCCCGCACCCTGGACAGTCAGCACTCAGGCGTCCACTGTGCTCTTCCTTCTTTCCCTCCTCTCTGTCTTGGTCCTGGCCCTCGTTCGCCTTTTCTCAGCTCTGGGTCTGGTCCAGACAACGTCCTGCCCAGGCTCCCTTACTCTGCTCACTCAACTTTCCAGAACATTCTCTGAATTTCTGCCAAATTCTTTCTGAAACACAGCCACAGTCCTACTTATGATCCCTACCAACACGGACTTAGTCTCACCACAAGCTGAGGCCAAACCTGGCCTGGCCAGGAAATATTACTAGCTAGGTTCCCCATAACAACCCTCCGTGGATCCTGTGCTCTGCCCACACACACCCTCCGTGGATCCTGTGCTCCTCCCACACACACACCCTCCGTGGATCCTGTGCTCCTCCCACACATACCCTCCCTGGATCCTGTGCTCTTCCCACACACACATTCAGTGGATCCTGTGCTCCTCCCACACACATATTCAGTGGATCCTGTGCTCTTCCCACACACACATTCAGTGGATCCTGTGCTCTTCCCACACACACCCTCCTGGATCTTGTGCTCCTCCCACACACACCCTCTGTGGATCCTGTGCTCCTCCCACACACACCCTCCGTGGATCCCGTGCCCCTCCCACACACACATTCAGTGG